TTTTTAATTAATAAATTATCTATAGGTACATGATATTAATTTTTAATTTATTATAAACCTAATTATTTTTATCACCACTACCTATGTAAATATTATAGATTTTTGTGAACTATATACTTACCTAATAATTAATGTGTTATTTTTTCATATTTTATCTATGCTCTTACTTCATTAAATTATTATAGACTAAACTAGCAAAATTTTGGACTGATGTCTGATATTCATATTAATAATTAATCATACTTCATTAACACTGAAAGAAAATTAAAAATATTTTCTTACCAAATTAAATACAAAGCAGAGTACCTATGTAATGTACATATTGTACATTTAAGCATTTTCAATCATGAAGTATGATGTACCAACAAATATGTAATTAAAGTTAAATAAGAATTAAGAGGACGAGAGACTTGTGTGGGAAAATCGTTCTTTTACATCTTTTGATATCTTAAAAAATGTTACATTTTATTTATATTAAATGTATATTTTACTGATTTGTTTCAACACATACGTGTGTTTGGCCTGGGCTGGGTACAAATATTTTGATAATCTGACTAATCGATTTTGGATAGCACTAAATATATTGTATACCTACTTATTAATTTATTACCTTTATTACTTTACAGTTCACAGTTAATATAGTAATACTTTATAATTAACAACGATATATAACATTTTTGGTTGAACTTATGATTTTAGGTATCTAACTTAACTTAAGATACCTAAATTGCAAAATAATGAAAACCATAAAAACATTTTTATGAAAACTCTTTAACTTTTCTAAAACTGAAAAGTATCAAATTTTGACATACAAAAATTATGAAATTTATTATTGAAATAATATTTATTTTAATAATTACAATAATACAACTATCTATACGCGAAGAGAATTTAAAAAATGTAATGGTTTTAATGATTTTATGATCGTGTCAGCAGTACCCGCGCACTTCGTTTCTCGTAAAGAATTTACCCATAAAAATATCAAATACTGATAAACAGGGCTGTGAATTTCATTTTTGCATATTTAACCGGTAAGGGCATTTAAATGCACGATTTCGCGAGTTCCTCGTGTTATTGCTTTTTTCACATTTTAATATGTTTTTCTCATTTGTAAAATTTCTTGAATTTAGATGATACAATTTTACCGTACTAATTTTATCGCGGTGGTAATTGTAGCAAGAACATTTTTTAAACCCGGTCTAGAGTGCCAGAGTGGCATGCAATACCATAGCCTCCTGTTATTATTGTGTGGTCTTTATTTATGGTCGAAAGTTAATAATAAAATATCTATAATTTTAATCTATTATATAATGGTGGACAAATCAACGATAGTACCTATTGTCCGTCGTCTCGCACGTGGTAATATAATTGAAAAGTTTTTTGTTCAGATTTTTTTTTTTTTTTAATTAAGTATACATACCCTATTACACAAGTAAACATTGTCTAAAAATTTTGTTTTGTGAAATTCAACCCCTATAAAAAGTTAAAAAGGATTGAAAAGTGTAAAATTAGAAAAAAATGCCTAATCAAAACCGCTGAAGCTATATGGGGATGAAATTCGGCCAGTAGTTGTTTCATGACGTAGACATCCATGTCTTTTATGGGGGAAGAAAAGTATATGCTTTGATATAGACACGGTGATCAACATAAACGATACATTAATAATTATCCTGTTGAATTTTTAAATTCGTTGAAACCACCAGATATGCTAAATCATAGGCTTATTCAGCAGTGTGCAGGCACGCCGGTTATGTAGTTGCGAAATTTGAAACCACCTAAACTGTGTAATGGGACCAGGCTTAAAGTCAAAGCCGTACATCGCAATATAATGGAAGCCACAATTTTAACTGGATGTGCGAAAGGGTAAACTGTATTTGTACCACAAATTCCTTTAATTTTGAACGATCTTCTGTTCGAATTTAAACGATTACAGTTTCCCTTCAAAGTCTGCTTTACAATGTCCATAAACAAGTCTCAATGTCAGAATTTCAAATTTGTGAAAATAGACTTGCGAGGAAACTGTTTTTTTACATGAGCAGTCCGCAGTTCTCCGTAGCTTGCAACCCACGTGTAAACTCACTCAGTAGTTTGATGATTTTGGCTCCTATTATTAGATCAGCGAAAAATATGTTCTACAAAGAAGTTTTGTTGATAATATTTTGAATAATTATTAGTAAAATATTTTTAAACCTTTACCGTTAAAACTTATCGCAAACGAAGCTATACAGGCATACAGCCAAAAGCTATAACGCCTATAACCAAGCGCGCCCATAGAAAACTTCTTAAGGGGGAAAAAATTTTAATCATGTCCATGAGTAGGAAGGAGTTTACAATTTAACATTATATTATTATTACTATTATATATTACGGGATTGGTAAATTGGGTCCCGGAAAAATAAAGGTTGTAGGTAAGTTGGGTCTCGGAAAAAATATATAAATTAAAATGTATGTGGTTTTTATAATATTATGTTCTCAATAAATAATATTATATATTTATATGGTACCTATAAATGATTAAAAAATTGTGTACCGGGAAAAAAATGTCAATACACTAAATAATATAATACGTCAAATTTTACAATATATGGTATAAATAATATTAAAAATGTTAATAAGCTAAATAATAAAGTACGTCAAATTTTACAATATACCTGTCTATACACACATTAACATCATGCTTAGAATTAATTGGTGTCCAGATAATGTACCACACTGTATGCAATATGACGTATTATTGTAACAATTATTCAAAAGTAAATTATATAAATATGAAATATTAAAGTTTTAAGTTTTTAATATTTTAGACATAATTGCGCCAATGATTTATAGCCGGGACCCAACTTACTTATTACCTTCTTATAGCCGGGACCCAACTTACCTACCACCATTTTATACCCGGGACTAAACTTACCGCTTTCAAAACGAACCCAAATTATCACGGACCCAATTCTCCTAGCTCCATATATTATACTATTACTATATATCAAATTGGAAGATTATGAAATAATAATTATTTAACCAATTAACCATAAAAGTAATTTATTAAATTTTCATTTGATTAATAACATAAATTTATTAAAATATTAATTTACAAATAAAAATTGCAAAATTATTTTTTTAACACCTTCAAATATATTTATTACTTGTTCTATGTATTCATTCGTTGTATCATCATTTTTTTCCCTATGTACATTTATCATGCATAATCCATCAAGTCAATCTCCACTTATTGTAGATCTTGTGTAAACAATTTTTCAACACTTTCTAGAGGGGAACATGTCCCTCTCTTGCCACCAATATGGGCGTCCTTGCCTGTAACTAAAGAATAGATTATGATAATAATAAAATTGTCTTAATAACTAATTAATATGTATAAAATATTATTTCAACAATCTTAATTAAATTTTATTTAAATAGAATAAACAACATTTAACCTTGCCAAATTATATACATTTTTATACTTAAACCCAGCAACGACGGGTAATTCAGTTAGTAAGTAATAAAATTAATAAGTAAACTTTGATTTTTCTAGAACTATTTACTACTTATTAAGCCTGTAATAGTTAGACCATGTGGGTCGCGATAAAATTTCAAGGAAAATTCTGAGTCGTGGTTCTAAAAAAGATTGAGAACCACTAGGTTAAAACATTTTTAAATAGTATAATAATACTATATTATCAACAATATCTCTATTATATTAGTTACTAAGTTATTTAACATACCCAATAATAAGAAGTCTGATCAAAAAGAACCAGAACAAATGAGTAATGTTAGTAACATTAGTCGTAATGTTATTACGACTAATCTACACATGATAAGGTTTTAAATTATAAATAGATGAATTTCCCAAGTATAAGTGAATTTTTTAAACAAAATCCAAAGTCACTATCACATCTCAGTCTAGTATTACACGTGGTTAAATCTAATTGGTTTATTTCGTGCACCGTTTTCGATATATCTGAAATTAACGAACAACGTGTGTAAATTAAGTTTTTCTTGAAACTTGGTAAAAATGTAACAGAAATGTAAGCAATGATTTAAACTACTTTTGGGGATAATTCATTAAGTTATTCCGTGACTTTCGAGTGGTTTAAAGTTTCAAGGACGGCCAACTGAAGATGATCCATGTGCTAGAAGACTGTCGACATCCAGAAACAGTGATGTGGCGAAAATTTACGAAAAAGTGCAAAATGACCGCAGATTAATCGTTAGTTAGTGAGTTAGCATATATGGCAGGAATTTAAATTGGATCTTGTCATGAAAATTTGCAGATGAGAAGGATTGCAGTCAAATTCATCCCGCGATTTTTGAAATTGGAGCAAAATAAAAAAAAATTGTTTGACAATTTGTTAAAAACTTAAAAATCGTTTTGTTGATGGATACGATCCGGAAACCAAGTTCTATTCATCTCAGTGAAAAAAAAATACAGCAAATATGGCAACAGTTCTTAAAGCTATCACTTTGGAACAGTTCCAAAGAACTTTCGAAAAATGGCAATATCGTTATTCTTTAGGAGTAATTTGAAGGAAATATCTTTAAATAATATGTAACTTAATTTTTGTAGTTATTAAAAATAAAATCCTGACACTTTTTGAAGAGACCTCGTACATAATACAATATTTCAATATTAATTTTCAAAAATAACAATGTAAAAATTACTAAAATTATTTAGAAATATATGGTATCTAATAAATATCAAGTTATGAAGATGAATGAGTTCTGTACCTCAGTAAGTATATCTACATCACAAAATATACCTTTATATTTTGGTCACTATATAAGTTGAATATCGCAATATTTTTTACTGTAGCTACTGGATACACACAATACATAAAATACACTGTATTAGAGTCTAGAAGATCATAAAATATATTTTTGTATCAAACTTTGTGACATAAAGATAAAATATTCAAAAACTTAATCAGATTCAATGTTCATTCAAGCATTTTTAATATTCTTACCTATATGATAATATGAATCATTGTAGCAGTTTAATAAAGTGTATAATACATTACACAAAAGTCCTAATATATAGCCGCGTGCAGCTATCTCTGAGCGCAATGATTCGAAAAATATACACCACGCAATAAAGTATAGAGTTAAATTGATCTTTAGCGTGTAAGTGGTTTATGTTTCGTTCAGATAAGGGTTTAAAAATGAATAGGTAATTTTACACATCATAAATATAATACAGATCGATGGGTTGGAAAACAATCATCATATTTAATATTATGAAAGCAACCGGAAAATTTACACCTATCATTCTAGTATAAAAAGACCTCGTTGAGGTCCCCAAGAGTGTATTGTGACTTTAAAACATTGTCGTCACTACACAAAATGAATAAGACGTAAGTTCAAGTATTAGGAGCAACAAATATATTTTGCGTACTCGTATTTTTTCACATTTCTTATACAATCGTAAATCGTATTACAACATGATTAAATTATTACTATTTGTATGCTACACATATACAGTATTCATTTACAATTTACGATTTGTATATTAAAGTGTTAAATTAACACTGTCAATTGGTATGATTTTAGGATTCTATCAATCGTGGTTGGCGTTATTTTCTTCTTGGCTCTTCTTGGCTCACACTCGAATGCAAACGTGTGCACGATTTCGGAAAATACTTTGTAAGTAACTTTTGATCAGTTATATTATTATTTAAAATTGATATTTACTGACTATAATAACTGAAATCCATCAGTTGATCCTATAAAAATAAAATCATTTAAAATTTACAGTATTAACTAAAAAGTTTAAAGTATTTAAGGAAATTAATGTTAATATGATATGAATAAAATTAAATAGAAATTAGAACAGGAATTTTAATAAACTAAATATTATAAGATTAAAAAGTGGGCAAGTGAGTACTATCTTGTTTAACAGTACCTATAAATTTCGAGAGGTTTATAATAGTGAATGAATTAAATTTTAATTTAATGATAAACCATTAAATACGAAAAATAAATTCTGAACGAAGACTATCTGACAGCTTAGTATATTTTAGAAAATGTTCATTAATATTGCTAATAAAGTAATTTATTTTATTATTACTTATTAGTATCACTGTAGATTTATTTAAATATTTTTGAAAACATTGCATTCATTTTCATTATGTTATTATAATACAATTTATGATAATATTATTATAATAATATACTGTCGTCTGCCAAACTGTAATAAATACGTTGAATTATTTTATTAAATATAGTGTACAGTGACATTATGTTAAAGGATTTTTGATTATTTAATCATATAACATATAAAATAAGCTTAAATATTTTTTTGTCTATTAACAAAATGTCAAAACGTTAATTTAGTAAATATACAATATACATTATACAGGTTTTGGACCCCCTCACTAAATTTTTTTTTTTTGAAATGGCCTTGAGTTCAAAAAATTTGATAAATACTACATATACACATACTTATACAGTTATACCACATGACCCGATGATAGTTTGGTTAATTTTGTACGTAATGTAAATAATTTCCGAATAGTTTATCTTCTACTGTAAATATAATATTAAGTACTTTTTTAATTCAGTGAGTTTTAGTTAAAAACTAAAAAACAATATCTACATATTACAATTTTATAAGCTAATATGTACTGATATATTATAATGATGTAAAATGTAAAAAGGACATAATATGTTTGTAATATAAATAGCTTAAAAATAGCCCAGATATTTAGATAATCTTATGGTGTACAAGTGTACTTATGTCCTATACTGTAAAAAAAAATAATAAGGTATACGGAATGATAATAAATTTCAAGTCTTAGCGGTTTATACCTACTCATACGAATTAAGTCGACGACTAAACTATTTGTTTTTTCTCACGACTACGTGGAATATGGTAAATACTCGCTCAGCAGAACCAATTTTCTGTTGTTAGTGTTAATATTAAAGTAAATTGACCTATTATTTAACATTAAATAAAGAACTAAAGAATAATATTTGTGAACTGTGTGTGTACATTGAAATTTTTACGATAATTCATTATTTCTACAATATATGCATATTTAAATTGTAATAATACATACTTGCATACAAACTTAAATATCGTAAACAATCCAACATACAAACAGAAAATAATGTTCTTAAATTCCTAATATTAAGTTTGATAATAGGGCAATTCACTCCAATGTTAAAACTATTAATAATGGCTTTAAATACTCTGCTGAGAGTAAATATTGAAATATGTTAGGTTGCACGAGGGTTAAAGAGAGAAATAAATAATGCGAACTTTGCAATAACGTACATTTTGAATAACCAAAAAATAATTAAAATTACTTGAGAACATTTGTATTAATAAATAATTATATAATTTATTTACAGTGATGTTTATCGAAAAATATCAAATAATGAATTGGTGATGATTTCAAATGAGACAGATCAATGCAAATTTAACCCTATAGACAACTATTACATTAGAGACACGTACAGAACTAGAAATTTGAACATACGATCCGAGAGACGTAAGATTAGCGTAGACGGAAAAGAACAAGAGCGCAGGGTTTGGGTTAGAATTGACGATATTAGAAAGGGCAGATTGACAAGATCGGAATCATTACCTAACATCCGTCGCGAACGAATTCGGAATGCAAGAGAGAGAGACATTGATATAAGAGGCATTCTTCACCAAAGAGCTTTAGAACGGAACGGCAGAAAGATTTTAGAACATCGTTCTGATGAAAGAATTTTTAGACGTGAAGTAAGAGATAGGAATTACGATGTGCAAATAAATCGAGATAAAACAGACAAAAGAAGCAGAACAGCGCATACTAGACAGGTAAGTACTCATCAATATTCATACAGATGTAATAAATTAATCTAAAATATATTTATATATGTTTATAGATTGGTATGATTGCTATTAAAGATAAAGACGACGCGTCTTCATGGTAAATTTCCATTCATATTAGTATATAATGTTATGTTATAATTAAACGTGTATATTTTTTAGGCCATTCTCAAATTTTGTTCAGTCAGCAATTGGTGTACTTGGACTTTACTATTTTGGGATGCACAGTAAAAACGTTAAGTAATTAGAATCGTTACTTAAAAGAATATGTTAGTGAACTCATAGTATAAATATTATAAAAAAATTATCAAAAATATTAATGAAATAATGAATATATGATTACATTTTTCTTCCAGAACAACTATATTTGTGTTTTAATTAATTTTTTTGCACCTATTATCAACTATATTTTATTGGTATAATATTATATAAAAAAACATAATGTTATACAGAATTTATTTAAATACTAATTTCCTCAGTAAAATTTAAGAAAATTTGACTATACATATATTTACCGACTAGAGTATAAATATTATATATATATTGTAATAAATAAATATACAGGCTTAAATGTATAAACAAAACAATAAATGCATTTATAAGAAATTAAGCTTAAAAATACAATTTCTTACTTGATCGTACTCCATTTTTTAATGTGTTCACTCAAATGTAAAATTTCTTTTTTAAATGATTGTCATGTCAATGTGATATCAATACATTTTACAAATATTAAATTTTTATATTTTTATTTTTAATTTTGTAAACATTATCAAGTATTGTTTCTATTTGATCAAGATAATTGCGTATTTGTTTATTTTTTTCTGATAATTTTATTCTGTATTGATTATGTGATTGTCCAATTTCTTCAAGGAGATTACCAATTATAATATGTAACTGTGATTCTCTAGTCATGTTACGTTCAATTAGTTCATTTAATTGAAAATCATAACTCTTTAATGTCTCTTCGATCTAAAGCAAAAAATAAAAATAATAGAAATAATAGCAAAGATTGTTTTATCCTAAACAAAGGTAGTTTTCAATTATAATTTGAGTATAAAACTATAAAATTATAAAATATAAACTACATGTTTAGTAAAAGTTTAATTATATAGGTATATTATCTATTTTTCTGTTGATAAGGAAGTTACAAAACTATAAATGAAACTTACAAATTTAACATAACTAATAATATTAGAATATACCATACTATGATATTTTATTCAATTATCTATCAATCTAAATTAAAAAATAAGAAAATAGTTAAATATAAAAAAATTATATCTAATCAAAATCTCTTGAAATTATAAAAAAAAATATAATTAATAAATAGGTATGACATATAGCAAAAACAACTAGACATTTTAAAAATAATATTTAAATTTGACCTATTTTAAACAAATTTAACGTTTGATACATATTGGAAAAAACTGTGTATAATGTAATATTACATTCCAAGTTATTTAATTTTGAACTAAACATTTAATTATTAAGTTTAAAAATTCATTAATGATTTGTATACTTACATTTTTTTTCAAAAATGATTCACAATACTGATTTAATTGCTGATATTTATTTTCTAAATTGTGAATTTCTTGTTCTTTAAACATAAGATTTTTTTCGAGTTCTTTATTTTTAAACTGAAAAAAGTTGACAAAATGTAAAAAAAATAAATTTTATATTATAATGTAATGTTTTATTTACTTTATAATATTTTAATTCTTCTTCCATTTTTAATTTATTGATTTGGTTCTGTGTTTTATTATTTTTAGCAAATTTATCATATGTGTTACACATAATTTGTAGCCGATTGTGATTTTCCAGCATAGATGAACTAACTTTAAATTGAGATTTTTTTAAGTTTATTTTAGGATCAAGAATCTAAAAAACATAAATAATAAATATTGAGTTTAATTAAAGTACATAAAGATCCAGTATAATTTTTTATAATATAATACATTTATCTATTTTAAGAATTAAGTTTTAATGATTTAAGAGGCCAAAAGCTTTTAAATAATTATATTATGTCTAAAGAATATTTATATATTTATATATTTGGTGAAAATTTAAATTCTATTGTTGTATTTCTTTTTTTCACTTAAAACAAAATTCATTTAGGTGTACTTTCTCTTTCATGCTGTAGTTTGATAGTTTTTTTCTAGTTACCTAATTATTTGTAAATGTACTGGAAATTGTATTAATACTTTTCTTTAACAAAAAGTTGTTCAAATTTAATATCAAAAACCATATTAAAAATTGAAAATTGTTGCAAATTCTATGATTTAAAACATAATGACTAAAATAACAGACATAAGAAATACACATTTTGTTCAACCAAAGCATTTTCAGTTCTGCTTCATTTGTAAAAATAAATTATTAAAGTAAACATTATACATTATAAACTTTTTGTTGTATTTTTTTGATTTGATAAATGTTTTCACACAATATTGATATTATAGAAATATTTTTATATCTAAGAAATTAAGACAAAACTTAAAACACAAATTATCTGGTTTGAAATCTGACATGAAATTAATCAAAATGTTTCAAAAATGTTAATGAGTGAATAAAATATGATAAAAGACATAGAAGTTTCGAATTCCATAAAAATGTTTTTGAATTATAATAAAATAATTAATGATGATATTCTTTATTTAAGTATCTAGTTTCTTTCAAACTTGAATATGAAATGCCTATAAAAATAAATAGTTGTATACATTCATTTTTAGTTTTTATTAGCCTCCGTATAAATTACTTATGACAAGTGAGTAACCTCATAGGTTAGGTTAGCTCAAAGATTAGGTCAATTTTAACTATATAAGTAAATTGAACATCTTTATAAATAAATTTGTAATTTTTTATAATGTTGTAATCATATTAAATGTTTAGAGTAAAAAAATGTGCACATGTATTTTAGATTCTGAGTGGAATGAAAAATAGATATGTATATTTTATAAAAAAGTGTTTTTTTATAAGTGTCTATGTACACGATAAGTAGTTGAAAAAAAGATTTTTAACTTTAAAAGTGGTTTTAGACAGAAAATTGAATTTAATTTAAGCTTTAAAGAAGTCAATATTAAAAGTTCACAGTAATTTTTTATATAATTGAGAAAAACAAACAAAAAAATTAAAGAAAAATGAGAACTTTCACACAAATCTAATATTATTATTAAAATAATTGTCTTGTAACCATAATTACCAAAATAAACAATTTTTGCTCAGCACTTTTCATATTTATTATGGGTACTGAATTCAACAACAAGTTTTACTCGACATCTAATGTAAAGTAGAGCAGTACTCATTTGTCATTTTTAAATATTTTAAATAATGTAGTTATTATAGTTATTTAGTTACTTAAAATCTACTTTACATTAGATGTCGAGTAAAACTTGTTGTTGAATTCAGTACTATAATAACTACATATGAGGAACTTTCTTACATAACATTTGCAAGCATATAAATGGAGCAAAAATATTTCTACCAAAATTAAAAAAAAATAAATTTAAATATCAAAAGTCTATAAATAGCTTAATACTTTGAAAATTATACCATGAATAGAAAATATAAATATGACAATTTAGTGAAAATTTCAAGTACCTACACTCTATAGTTAATCATTTTTGAATTACACCATAAAAGAAAATCAATCATGTCAAAAACTAGTTTTATGTAAAAATTTCAGATTTTTCCTTTTTTATTTTTGGTATGAAAATTTTCAATTTTGATTTCTTTAAAGTATAAATTAGATCACTAGGGTCCTACTATTAAAGATATTGTAGTTGAAAATTATAGAATTTTTCTATTATAAATTGTATACATATACATTAAACACATCATGGTAAAATTAATACATTCATTCTTCTACTCAGATTCTAAAATAAAAATTAGGTATTTAAGTATCTGAGCAGCATATGCAATTCAATTTATAGAATATATTCAAATTTTGAATACATTTAGTAGTACACAAAGTTATGCATTCAGTAGACAGTGGTTAACATTCACCTCGAAATATTACAAATTATACTTCACCTTGACAAATAATGACCTACATAATAAAAGAAATTAATATATTATATTATTAAACATCAGTTTATACACAACATATTCCAAATCCATAAATTTCAAACATTAGTATGTACAGTGGATGTCTGGTTTCTTGGAATGTGGTTTATTAACTGGTTATAGGGGTTATTGACACAGTCAACTGTCAACACATTATATTTTTAACCTTTTGTTATTCAAATATAATTTGTAAAATATATGTTTTTTTATTTTTATGTAAAAAAAATGACTACATCAATGTTGTACTTAAAAACTATTAATTTTTAATAAAAAACAAATTTAAATACTAGTAAATTATAAAATATAAAAATTATTTAGATATTTAAATAATTGTTTACTCTAAAATGTTTAAAATGTTTATAAATATTAAGTACTTTTTAGTTTATTTTTAAGTTTTAACTTTACAATTATTAAAGATTAGAAATTATTTAATTTAAAATTCTTTTTTTATTTAATTAATACAAGCCATTATATAAATTGTTTAATGATTAAATTAATAAAGCAAACGCAATTGTCATTAATAACTGTTAGTATGAAAAGATCTATTGTAGATATTATAAACATATTTTTATTTTATGTTAGTCATTAAAATACAATAGTAATGTAAAGTTAATGACAAAAAGATATAAAATATTCTATTCATGTTTATGTCAGAAAGTAGAAAATTTGGTCAATAACCAGTGGTATTAATAAAATATCAAATAGGTGTGGTTTGGATTGGGATCATAGTACAGTACCGGTTTCTGTATATATTATAGAATTCCCCATGGTCAAGAATCAATTTAGTTTATCCTCATTTAGTTGTTCGAAATGGATGGTTGTTCCAAAGTGCTTTACTGTGTGTTTACACTTTTAACTTTAACAACATTTACAATATGTTTAGAGAATAATGGTCAACATCGAGATGTTGAAGGGAAAATAACTTATGATGGAGACCAAGTATTTAGAGTTGAAACAGTAAACTCCAAACATAGGAAAAAAATCAAGGAATTAGAAAATCAAGGATGTAAGTAAATATGAATTTTCATTAATAAATGTAATTGAATTAATTTGAACACAATTTTTAGTGATTGAAAAATGGTTTACCAATTCTACATCAGTAGATATAATGGTAAAAAAACACAACTCAGAAATTGTAAAAAATACACTAAATAATGGATCATTATTATTTGATGTTTTTATTGATGATATACAACGAGCAATCAATGAAGAAAACCCTCCAATAAAAGAAAACGATTCAGAATTATCCAGAATACAAGGTTAAATTTATTTACAAATAATAATTATGCTGTATAAATATTTAACTGCATACATTTATACAAGTTAATATAATATTAATTTGTGTTTCACAAAAGTACAAATAAATAGTTAAATTAAAAATTATCATAATATACTTTGTAATGATTTTAGTTATATTAATTACTAATTTAATGATTTTAGGACATAATTTGACATTTGAACGTTATCATAAGATACATGATATATATAAATACATTGATTACTTATCTCAAGAATATCCAGATATTGTGGAAATTGAAACTATTGGTAATACATATGAAAATGTCCCATTAAGAGTGATACGTATTAAGCCAGACCAAAATGCAACTAATATAAAAGCTATATGGATCGATGGAGGAATACATGCTCGAGAATGGATTGCAGTATCTTCAGTATTATATTTAATAAATGAATTGGTATATAACAGAGAATCATTGGAATCTCATATGAATAATATTGAATTTCACATAATACCAATTTTAAATCCAGATGGGTCAGTATTAATTATATAATTATATAATTTAACAAATAGTAAATATATCATTTTTATTTAGCTACAAATATTCTCATGAAAAAGAACGCTTATGGCGAAAAAACCGAAACAAGCAAACGGCGAATTCGTGTATAGGAACAGATCTTAATCGTAACTGGGCATACCACTGGGGCGAGAGTGGTTCTAGCAAATATTCATGTGCAGAAATATATAAAGGAGTAAAAGCTAGTTCTGAACGTGAAACTCAAGCAGTGGTTCAGTATATTATGAAAAATCCAAATAAATTTAAAGTATATAGAAAATTTTTTTATTTTTAAATAATAAGTTATAACTTATAACTAAACTATAACTTATAGATTAAATAAACATATTTTTAGGGATTTCTGACGTTTCATAGTTATGGGCAATATATCTTATATCCATGGGGTTATGCCAAACGAGTAACATCTGATCAGAAAGAAGTACACCGTGTGGGCCAGGCTATGGTCACAGCTATTAAAAAGGCTACATCAAATGAATATACTGTCGGAAATAGTGCAACACTTTTATACCCAGCAGCTGGTATATGAAATTTAATAAATATTATTTACACAATGTCATCAAAGAATATCACCAGTGTCACTCAAGCAGTTATTTTTTTCATATAGTGGGTAGCATTGGGGATACTCGTAATAAACAAATTACAAATGTCACTAGTACACATAGTGACATCTAACAAAGATTAATTTTCATCCATAATTTATAGCTAAGAAGGACATCCGTCATGGATGACACCCATTTTAATTTTAGAAATGTATTCATCTTGATAATACAAATTGATTAATACCTAAATCATTCACTAAATGCTGATAATACAGGTGAAACGATTAAACTTATGTATATTCCATATAAACCATACATATCTAGTTAATTTTATGTATGGTGTAGTAAAAACATAGAAAACATATCCATCATCCAATGGCATAATTATGGTGAGAAGGGGATGATGGGGAAAGATCCTCCCTTGACTTATAATCAATATAAGATTATTTAATTATAAAATTACCAATATCATGTTATAATCACAGATATAATATGCAATATAGGATTATAAGAACATGGTGTGGTATAATGTTTAGACGCAGTCACCGAACGTTAAAAAACTTAGAAATCATATCTTACTTTATAAATTATAGAATTTATTATAGTTAGGTTAGTATTTATAAAATTATGTTTAAAAAAATAATATATTTGTTAGAGGGGTATGGGGAGGAAAAGCCCCCATTTTATGTTTATTCAATAAATTATATATCCCCCCTCAAAATAAAATCATAACTACGCCACTGCCGTCACCAAACATGTGAAAAAAATATTCTACATAAGCCTTACTGGTTAGAAATTTCCACAAAAATGGTAAAGATTTTATAAGAATAAAATATTTTAGTAACACAAATTTCTAATTAAACGATATATAGTATGCAATTAAATTTTTTATTAATACAATACAATGTACAATTAAAATTTTTTAGGAGCATCTGATGATTGGGCAAAAGGAGTTGCAAAAATTAAGTATTCGTACACTGTAGAATTGAAAGATACAGGAAAATATGGATTCATCTTACCACCATCTGAGATTTTATCTACTGGAAAAGAAGCATTTGCAGCAGTCTCAGCGCTAGCTAATGAAATAAGTTCAGAAAATAATAATAATGTATAAAACTATTAGCTTACCTTTAATTTAGTTGTACATTTTTTTAAAGACAGAGAATGAATATTATGATGTTTTCTTTCCTCTTCTTTAACATACTTATTTATAGTTAAATTTTCTAAAAATATAATTAATATTTAAAAATTAAAATTGTATTTATTTTAAACTCTCAATTCTAAGACCTAAATAAGATATAAATTGATGGTTGTCTCGTAATGTTTGTCTATATTATATTTCCATTCCCCTTACTACAAATCCCTTACTTGAATTTTAATATTTATATTTTTTTATGATAACTTAACACATTTATCATAACAATTTTTGACAATTCATAAATTACGAATTGGTAACAATATTTAAAAAAAATATTTTATACAATAAAAAGGTATCTAAAAACAGAAAAAGAATATAAAAATCTAACTTTATGGTATACCTATAATTTGTAAGTAAATTATAGCTATTAAATAATTCAAATTAAGGTACTAGCTAACAAAAAAAAAAAAAAAAAAATAAATATATATGTACATTTAAAATATATTGAAATAAATGAACTATTTCATATTTTAAATAATATAAAAACAAACATAAAATATGTTTTATATTGAATTTAATAAAAATGTATTTAAAATAATTATAGATGGCAAATCCTAAAAATTATGATTTTCAAAAAATTAAATAGAATCAAAATAAATTTTTGAAAAAAATAGTTAATTATAAGGCTAAACACCATTAAATTTCTCAACACAGTTAATTATATCTTTTAAGTCATATTTCCTAATATATTCTTAATACAAACCATAAATTTTTGATGTTTTTGAATGTTTCTCTGGAGTTAAAATACATTGAGAATTATTTTTTAAATTAAAAATAACTCTTTTTGTATCATTCCTTTCAATTTTAGGCTGTGCTAGTATAATCCTAGTATTATTTTGTATACTTTTACAGTCTTTTGATGATTTAACTTTATTTGTACTTGAATATGTTTGGAAGAATGGAAGTGTTTCACCAATTATTTTATCAGCTTCAATCAATAAATCATCAATATTTTTACCTGCAAATTCTCCTGCAATCATTCAAAATATAAAATGAATCAAAATTAAGTAGTGTAATGTGTAATTTACCATAAAATGTAGAGCTCTAAATTAATTTATTTTTTTATTAGTTAATATTAGAATTTACTTAACATACCTTGTTAAATTATAGTTTTTAGATTTTTTATTATTTTTTTTATAATTAATTTGTTGGTAAAATTTGAATTAACTTCAAAATCTAAAAAAATGAAATAGGTAATAACTGAAAAATATTAGTACTTATGTATACATGTTACCATGAAAATTAAATAATTAAGTAAAACTAGGTTTTACTAATAATTAATGATAGAATTTTTTGTATGTACTCAGTAAATATTAAGCATCATAATTTAATTAGGACTTTTACTAAACACACTATGTATATCTTAGGATGCACAAATATAATTAGTAAAAGCTGACTATTCTTACATAGTATATTTTAATATTTTTAATAAACTTGCAATTAATTAATAAGTTATATTATTGCTCAGCTATGGTTTTATTATTTACCTTTTCTTTATTTGTTTGGATTTTAAATAATTAATTAATCAAAATATTTTTGTATGTTGCATTGTTAAGTTATTGATGTAAAATATGTGGTTCAGTTTATTTTAATTTGTATTCAAAAATTTTTCTTAAATGTTGGAAATTACATACATATATATGTTTTAATTTCGGGTACATGAAAATAAAATTTAAGGATGCTCAAGTCTAATCTAAAATGCAAAGTTTGATTTCTTATTTGTCTTTTTCATATTATTTTAATTGTATTTAAGCACACATATAATTGTAAAAAGATAAAAATGTTTTATATAATCAACTTGTTCATAGAATCAAAACAACTTGTACCAATGTGATTACTTTAAGCAGAACTGTATTTTGCTCACTAAAATAAGCTATTTTTCATATTACTAAAATAATTTATATAATAAATGAAAATTTTGAAAAGTATTTAGTTACCTATAATGTCTTGGATAGTACAGTCCTCTTTACCAGATACTAACAATTTTTCCATCTCAGAAATTAAGAAATCCATATTGTGTAGCAAAAAAAAAACCATCTGATAACTTATTATTAGTGCAAGATGCCTATTACATAAAAATCTTAAAATTATGGAAATAATTGTAATAAGTATTAAACATTAATAATGATTATTGGTTGATGAATGATGATGGTAAATTAAAAATTAGTTGATATTATCACTGTTCACTATCACAACTTATTATATTTTATTATTCCTTATCAATAGTAATAATAATAAATAAAAATAGTACACAGGCATATTATTTATAACTTAAAAGGTATCACAGTTACATTTCATCTATTCTGTGATTAAACCTTAGTAGTTAGTACCTTACATAGTGCAGTACTACCAGGGTAAAGACGTAACTAACGATCTATCTACAAATATGGTTACATTTTTAGACATAATTTATGCCTTAATATACACTATACAGTATTGGAGTCATTGAGTCATAGAGACTATAGAGTTATATTACTTAATACTTACTACTTAGACACTTAGTCCATGCGGAGATTAGGTTTCCACATTATCAATCATCATGATAAAATTCTTAAACTTTATTGTATTAAGGCATTAAGCACATCATTAACCCTTAATCCTTATATTGGTGGCTGTAAAATGGAGTCTGACTGTTTTATAGTTTATACATACGTTTGCAGCTAAATATTATTTTATTGATAAGTATTAAGTAAATATTGTAATTTACCCATACAAAAAATCACTTAGTTGTAAAATGAATACATTAAGTGTTTTATATTATCTATGTAATATGTTAGTGGAAGATTGAGGCCCCCGGTAATGTCGAAATCAGATTTTTGTGGCAAAAATGAGTAAAGTTGATAATTTGTTAAAATAAATGCATTTACTGTATAGGAGAATCTTTCATAGTTCATTAGTTTAATATGCCTTTGTAGTTATGCACTTATGCCGTAGGTTGTAAGTATAAAATATTTTGGGCTATTGCTACGATCTATTCATACAAATTACATTCTTAATGCATGTTTACGACATCTTCTGTAGGTAACACGTCCATAGAACATTAAAGACAAAATATTAAATTTTCAGATAATTTTAGGGAGTAATGCAGCCAAAATATAAAAATATATATATAGGTGGTAATATAATGTATTGTCAATTAATTTTGTTGATTATATAAAATAAGTAGGCAATAGGTATTATAATAGAATATTCGAATTCATAACCAAGAATTTGTTCTTATAATCTTATCTGCGGCCTAAATTTGGTAACCATACAGTTACAACTTACAGTATACCAGATATCTAATAGATACCTAAATATTATATACTATAATTTAATATAATATACCTACTCTATTTAATCTATGATATTATGCATTTAGTATTTATACTTTATAGTATGTAGTTTATATATCGATACAAACTTAGTGGATATGAACGTATGGTATTATTATATTATAATTATACACATAGGTAGTTTAATAATTAAAACTTATAAATTATAAACATATTTAGTAAGAATATACCACAATAAGATTATTAAGTGTTATTAATAATATATAATTATTTAGGGTAGGTATAACAAATAAATCTAAACCACTATTTTGTTATTTTTTGCCCATTTCTTCATCATTTTTATAATTTGTTCAACTTGAGAATTTGCCGAATTTCTTAATAAATGTATTACATCAGCTATTTGATCTCTATATTAAAATAAATATTTTATTATTTACTTGTAGTTATTCCGAAACGTCAATATAGGTACCTAGTAGTTAGTACCTACTATACAATGATTTTACCAATGGCGCAATTCTGGGGAAGGAGAACTTCAGATAATCCAGATGACCAGATTCCAGAATGGAAGGATTTAAATTAACTTAATTTTGCCATTGGTATTGATGTACATTTAGTAGGTTTATTTAAAAGTTTCAAAATAAATATTAGCAATTTGAACGTACTGTGGTTGATTTCCAAGAACAATTTGTTGAAATATGCCAGCACAAGCACCTCGTTTTCCCTCCCAATATTCAGGTAATAAATCTAATCTTTCAAGCATATCAAATGCTTTTGCTGATTGCCAAAACTGATTAGTCTTATAACAATCATTTGCGATCGACTGCAATATTATCAATGAATCTTGTGAATTTTCAATTTTCAAATATAAATCCCACGCTGACTGCGATTTTTTATTCATAATAACTAAATAAAAAAAAATTTCAATATGTTATTATAATTTTACAAACGAACAATTCTAATGTTTAAATCTAAATAATTAATACCTAAGTGTCCTAAGTATAATATTCAATATTGTATATAGGTACATAATATATACATTAATATCAGGCCATTTATTTTTGGACATTTAGTAAGTCTCCAAATAAAAAAAAAATCAACCACTTTTAAGATTATGGGGTAAAAACTATTTTTTCATACCCTAAAGGCTCAGCTGTCCATTATAGACAGTTTAATTGAAAACATTCCTTGAATTGTAATTGCTATGCAAAACCACCTTAGAATGAGTCACTGGACATAAAATATTTTTTGTCTGGATTTATAAATTGGACAATTACTAAATATATGTCATATTTTTAACTTATCCATAAGTAATAAAATATTTTATCAAAAACTTACAACAATGTATTAAATGGTTTATATAAATAAAACTCTCTCGTATTTTGTTGCTTTTTACTTGTAAATACATCTCTTCTGCTTCCTTGTACTCGCCTAGCGATAATTTAACCTATGTACAATATATAAATACTTTACATAATGTTATTTGTTAGGTATTGCTTATTCAGGTATCAGGTATTTAGTTTATAGAATATAAAATAGTTGATAAAAATACCTGAGCAAAATTAAAATTAAAACTATCGTCATTTGAGAAATAACTCTTTATTGAACTTAGATATAAGCTAACTTCGTCATAACGTCCTTCTAAAAATAAAGAGGAAGCCATGCATTGCCGACCTGGTATTGTGTCACATTCACTGGAACTACTTCCTACCATACTAAATAAACTCTGTCCGTTATCGATTTGCTTAGTCTAAAAATATTAACAAAAATTTACCTTAGTATTTTTTAATTATTTATTAATGATCGTTTTATTATTTTACATCTCCTTTTTCTTGACCAACGACTACATTAACAATGGCTTTTAAGATATATTCTTGGGGAATAGCTGGTTCCAAATCTTTGATTAACTCATAAGCTTCTTCATTTTCTCCTTGTCTCAAATAATATATTACCAAATTAAGACGGGCTTCTGGAAGAATATCAACAAGAGCTGGCAACACTTGTAAAGCACCTTCTCCTTCGCGAAAAACAACCATGTTGTGTTTAATCAAATCTTCACAAAACTTAAATGTTGATGACCTTCTCGCCTTTTATTATTTTTTGGTATTAAATAACAAAATAGTAATATTTTTATAAAAAATAATTTTATATAAAACAATAAAAATGATTTCATTAACAATGTTTAACTCACAATAAGATTTTTCAATTCTGATTCAGCAGCCTTACCATCGTATAATTTGTACAAATTGCATGCTTTTAAATTAGTTAATATCATAGAATCTGGATATTTTTTCATATAAACATCTAAAATTTCTTGAGATACATCATAAAAGTCTAATTTATAATAACAAAGAGCCATATAAATATTCAGTGCCAAAAAATGTCTGTAAAATGTAATAAATTAACTTAAAATATTACACTAATAAACTATTATCATAAACCACTTGTTAAACACCGTATAATAATAATATCAGAACCTAGTAGTAGTATTACCTAACTTCTATTGATTCCTAGAGCGGTTTAATATTATAATATTCAGAATATTGGATGGTACAGTAGTATAGTACTATTGGCTATTGCCACCAAATTTGGATGCTTAAATACATTACAACTAAATAATAACTTAACTAGGGTTGTTTGAATAAATATTTCAATTTTGGAACTAAACTTGAATTTTAAAATTAATAGAAGAAGATGAAAACATAAAATACATTATTTTATTTTAGTATGATATTTTAATGTAAGACTTTTTTCAATTTTTCAATCAAATTATCGTGATTGTTCAATCATCCTTCTCACCCACCTTGGTAAGCTAAATGTATAATATATATATTATACACATATATATATACGTAAATTGTATAGTTATAAATTATAATTTACACTATATCTTAGAATTATAATTTCTAAATACAAATTGTAAATAATGAATAACAAAGTGCCAAACAAACAAGCAAAGAAAAAAAATAAGAAAATAGATTTAATAGTTTGATAAAAATATTATTAATGCATTTGCAAATAAAGTTTGTATTTATTATAATTTAAAAAATTAATATTAAATATAACCATAAATTATATTTGTAATGATCAAACAGTAAGTACATGTTAAGAAAACCACCTCTTCCCATCATGACCAAATAATTTTACTACCCTTATTAGTAACTAAGTTGACATTGAATTACTGTGAACTATTGTGTTTTACATAGAAATATTTGTCTTCCAGTTACGAATTTGAGATTAAGATAATATGGAGCATGTAAGGATTTAATTTTTAAATAAGAGACTATCATATCATACTTGATTGTAATTTGTAATTTGTAAATGTGCGGCACAAAGTTTCCAATAAAAAATTGAGTGAAATTTATTAATACACAGAAATTATTTATGGTTGTGGAAATGTGTAATTTTCTATGTTTAAAAAAATATATTAGATACCTACTTATACTTTATATCTGTGTATCTTAGGTAGGTTTGAGGTATTGAACTATACTATTAACTAGGATTAAATTTATAATTACCGATTATTGATCATCAATTTTTTATATATATCAATAGCTTCTTGATAATGTGATCTAAGATAATGTATAGCTGCTAATGATAGTTGATCTTCAACCACATCTGCTAAAAGTTCATGATACTCCATAAGTTTTTTTTCGTCACCTTGTTTATGTGACAAATGAAATTGCAATCGAATTTTAACGTCGGAGATATCGGACTTTTCTAATACCTTATAGTAACGGGCAATAATAATTATTTTAATAGTTCATGTATGAGTTTTGCTAAAATATATTACTTCTTCAGCCTCTGAGTACATGCCTAA